GAAGATTGGGACGTCAGATCTCCCAACCCCCGGATTCTCCTGTCCAAAGACCCCACGCTCCGCAGTTCCTGGGACTGCAGCCCCTTTCCGCACAAGGGGACCGCGCCACGCCCCTCCTGGGTCAGCCCCGCCCTCATTTCAGTCAGGTAACCCAGCCCCAAAGCCCCTCCCCTTCCGAGGGTTGTTACCCGCCTCCCTCGATAGAGTACGCCAGGCCCCGCCCACCTGCCTCCAGGAGGCCACGCCTCCGTCCACTTGCATCCCATTTGCTCCCCCGGCATCGCCCACACGGTCCCTCCGCCACGCCCCTGCCCGCCAATGAATGAGGCCGTTAGCCACACTGCCCCGCCCCCGGCATCTTAGCTTTGCCCAATAAGGACCACCCAGAGGGTTTAACCGCTTCGCCTCCGGGCTCTGGCCAAATAACCCCCGTCTTTTCCCCACTTTACCCCCACCCCCACTTGTTCTGCTCCGCCCCCCGCCACCCTCGCCCGGCCCTCAAGACCGCCACGCAACTTCAGTCGTCGCCGGTTACTATGGCAACGGCGGCAGCAGCGCGGGGAGAAAGGGGAGGGACGGGGGTGGAGTGGGAGAAAGATGCTCAGAGACAGCGAGATACTAGCAGAGATACGTATAGGAACCGAGTAAGACAAAGTGATAGCTGTGAAGCAGAGTTTGCACACAGCACAGGGCCTAGCACATAGTAGGCATTCAATAAACTTTCCTTAAATTACTGCGGCAGGAGTCTAAATATAGGCAATGAAAGATGGAGGGCTCTCAGACGGAGCTGAGGAGCTCAACGACCACAAAGCTCCCTACCCCACCCAGAATTGGGGGGGGACACGGCCATGTGCCCCTTACTGGCTTCTCCTGGGCTACCGTCCGCTGCCCTGGATAGACGTGAACCACAACTCCCAACAGTGCTGTGGGCAGCAACCCTCTAACACTGAGAGATCTTGTGCCTCAGGGCCTTATGGGAGTTGAAGTCCCCGCCATCCCGAGGCTGACAAGTTTTCTGACCAAGGAATGTGGCAGGCCAGGGTCTCCACACCTCGGTAAAACCCCAAATACATAATCTTCTCTGCAAGCCTCCTTCCTTCAGGGATGCCCATCCCTGGACTCCGTCGAAGAAGTAGGAGTCTGGAGGGGGTAATGAATAAGTCCCCCCCTCCTCACCCTCAATAGCTGCCAGTACAGGCAAGCCCCTCACCCTCACTCGCATGCCTGTGTTCCAGTGTTGGAATGAGAGCCCGCACATTCCAATGGGCTTTCTGTGCACACCTGTATGCTGGGGACCACAGCCAGGGAGACTAAGGCCAAAAGGCAGGCCTAAGGGCAGGAGACAGGAGGAGCAGAGGAACAGGCAGACCCTAAAGGAAACCGGGCCAGAGAAACTGAGGCACAAAAATTGACTGAAACTACAAGGGATGGGGGGAAGAAGCAGCCTGGGAGAAAGCTCAAAGCCCACAGAATGGGGAACAAGCAAGTAGCCCTGGTGAAAAGGGGGTCGGGACTCCAAACCTACATACAGGTCCTCAGCCCCCAATCCCTTCCAACCATGCTCACACGTGCACAACGCATGTGTACACACATGTGTGAGTTTGTGGCAGGGAACATGTGTGTCCTCAGCTCCCTCCCATGAGAAACTGCAGTTCCCACTAAATATAACCCCCTCCCCAGGCTGTGACTCACCCGGACCCCGCCTCCCCCGGCCCCCACTTCCTGTCCCACCTCCCAACCCCCAGCTGCCTGCCACCCTCCCAAGCCTCCCTCCACACATCAGGCATCTCGCTTTCCAGTCCGAGTCTGGAAGCAAAGACCTAGGTATTCTGTATCCCACCAGGAGCTTGCTTGCGCTGCCCATCCAAGATCTCCTGCCCTTTCCAGGCTCTGACCACAGAGACACCCTGGTACAGATAGATACCTAGTGCTGCCAGCCCTGCCCTCCTCCTACACCTTTTCACCCCAGTAACCTCAGTCATAAATCCTTAGGGACCTTTAAATCCAGGTGTCCTCCCCCACCTTGATCCCAAGTGTCAGGGGGAACTGGAACAGCCCCCTCTATCTGCTCTTCTCCTTCTATCTCGACCAGGACTAGATGCAGTGTGGGAGGAGATGGGGTTATTGGGCACCTGCCTGGGCCACCCCCAAATTTTGCATCACCCACCTGGTTCCCTTCCTCAAATCCCCTCTCCCCTAAAACCTCTCATCTTCCTCTTCAGGAGCTGGCAATCTCAGCTGCTGCAACCTTCTACCTCCCATGGGAGCACCCGAAATCCTAACCTCACCTCATCCATTCCCTCAGGTGATCCTGTGTCAGGCCCCAGCCCTCTTGACAACTCCCAACTATCTTCGTTGCATATGATTGAACCCCAAATTAGCAGTTCCCTCAAATTGAGACAGCATCCCCAGAGGTATCTACCACCAGACGCTTGTTCTATCTCCTGAAGGCCCACCCCTTCCCTGCCACCTGACACCCCCAGACCAGTCAGGCACTCACAACCAATAACCTTTACCCCCATGCCAGAAGCCCCCCAAAACTGGACAAGGCACCTGGAAGCCAGCTTTTCTCCCCAGGAGGAAGAGGACCCCAAAACATAGCCCACCTTCCCACATACACAAGCAGGACTCCCATGTGAGCCAGGTTTCTCCTTAAACAAGTCTCATCGTTGTTGAACCCCAAAACCCACAAGGCCCCCCAAACCACAAAATACCCCAATTTTCCATTTGTCTACAAGGTACAAAGGGATCACTCCAGGGGGCACCTGTGGCCAAATCCAGCATTTTCTCAGATGTGAACCCCAAAACTAAATTATGACCCCCCCCAATTACATCTTACTTCTGATGATCTAATTCCAGGGCCCCCAGCCCCAGATAAGGCCTGCCTGATCCCTCCTCATAAACTCATACCCTATCCCCAGCTTATAGCCCCCCCATCATGCTTACCTTGGTTGTCACTATACAGAGACAGTCCATGTTGGGGGGCCTGGCCGCAGCGGCGGGTAAGGGGCTCTGACTTCATCGGAGTTTCGTTCCTCCCCTCCGTGGGTTCTCACCCCTCCCCCCTCCGCACCCCACTTTTGCAGGGGGGGCCAGGATGGGGGGAGGGGTGAGAGGGGAAGGAGGGGGTTGGAGAAGGGAAGGGTAGGGGAGCGTGGGAGGGACGGGAAGGGGGCCCTAAAAGGGGTTCCCCAATGAAAGGGAGGGGGCTTGAGGAGCACACCCCAATTCTCAGGCGGGGCGGGGGCACCGGGGGCTGATAGCCCCTGAGTTTGGGGGCTGGGGCATGAGCTGGGTTGGGGGAGGGAAACTGGATTTCGGGG